ATGAAGGAAAAATATATTTTAAGTAGCTGGCTTAAAATCTTTCAGGATGCGTTTGTAAGATCTGTCACAATCTCATTTGCCATATTTAATGTTGTTTAATAGTCGAGCTTTATCAAATTTTAACTTCAACATTTGGTAATTTTGTGATGTGTATTTGAGATGGCCACCTAGTGGTTTTTTCTGGTATGGCATCTTCCTACTGTACTACATTATGGTTTGATTAGAATAAGCTAATATTTAGCTAGATTAGGTACCAGATGTATTTGTGTTATCTTTTTTGTACATATTCAACTGTAGGTAAATGGGTATTTTTACGGCATTTCTATAATTCTTTTATTTTATTTTTAAACAGAAGAAGCAGACTATAGTGCCTTTGGTACAGACACACTAATAAAAAAGAAGAGTGTTTTAACCAACGTGTTGCGTCCTGACAACCATAGGAAGAAGCCACATATAGTCATTAGTATGCCCCAAGACTTCAGACCTGTGTCTTCTATTATAGACGTGGACATTCTCCCAGAAACGCATCGTAGGGTTCGTCTTTACAAATACGGCACTGAGAAACCCCTAGGATTCTACATCCGGGATGGCTCCAGTGTCAGAGTGACACCACATGGCTTAGAGAAGGTCCCAGGGATCTTTATATCGAGGCTTGTCCCAGGAGGTCTGGCTCAAAGCACAGGACTATTGGCTGTTAATGATGAAGTTTTGGAAGTTAATGGCATAGAAGTTTCAGGGAAGAGTCTCGATCAAGTAACAGACATGATGATTGCCAACAGCCGCAACCTCATCATAACAGTGAGACCAGCAAACCAGAGGAATAATGTTGTTAGGAACAGTCGGACTTCTGGCAGCTCCAGCCAGTCTACTGATAATAGCCTTCTTGGCTATCCACCGCAGATCGAACCAAGCTTCGAGCCAGAGGATGAAGACAGTGATGAAGATGACATTATTATTGAAGACAATGGAGTGCCACAGCAGATTCCAAAAGCTGTTGCAAATACCGAGAGCCTGGAATCCTTAACACAAATAGAACTCAGTTTCGAGTCTGGACAGAATGGTTTTATTCCCTCTAATGAAGTGAGCTTAGCACCCGTAGCAAGTGGCACAAACACAGAATTTGATACACATGCTCCAGATCAAAAACTCTTAGAAGAAGATGGAACAATCATAACATTATGAAACCATTGTTTGAATGTTTCTGAGTGAGGATGCCATGGGGACTTGTACATTTGGCTAGTTTAAAGCATATATATA